AACGCTCCACCAGAGTGGCCTGGGAACCGTGGGGACCACGACACACTCTGGGTTTCTCTTGTCTACTCCATTCTAAACATTTTAAGTGACCCACAAAATTAACTTTCTAAAACATAAACAAGATACATGCACACTGTTGTATACAAAATAGATAACTAATAAGGACCTACTGTATAGCACAGGGAATTCTGCTCAGTACTCTGTAATGGCCTAGAAAAGAGTCTAAGGAAGAGTGGATATATGTGTTTATATGACTGATTAACTTTGCTGGACACCCGAAATTAACACAGCAATGTAAATCAACTATACCCCAATTACACACACACACACACACACACACACACAGAGAGTCATAACCTGCAATCTGAAAAACTGCTCCAGGCAGCAGAAGAGACAGCAGCAGAAGTAGCAATGTGTGTGTGTGTGTGATGTGAGGCTGAGCACATGTAGGGACGCAGGTTGGAGTGGGGGCTCCAGGCCAGCTCTCGGCTTTTGTGCCGTTTTCAGGAGCTTGGACTTTCTCTTGTGTGACAGGGAGGCATTGAAGGGTTTAACCCAAGCATGAGCGGCATTGTACATAGCTCTCCAGGGGCATCTGTGTGAAAGATGGCGCTGGAGAGAACTTCTGGCGACAGAACAGTCTCGTACAGGCTTTCAAAGGCCCAAATGCTAGGAAGCAGGGGTCCGCAGCCTCCGGGATTTAATGCCTGATGATCTGGGGTGGAGTCGATGTCACAATAATAGGATGAAAGTGCACAATATAGGTAATGCGCTTGAATCATCCTGAAACCCTAACCCCCACCGCACCCAGTCTGTGGGAAAACCGTCTTCCATAAGACTGGTCCCTGGTGCCCAAAACGCTGAGGACCGCTGTTAGGAGGAGCCCACATGCTCACTCCCTTCGGAGCTGCCAGGGTGACCCGGGGCCGCAGACACACACACCGACTGCATCAAGAGTAGAGAGTGGCCAGGAAGGGCCAAAGCTCAAAGTCGGGTGGAGCTCAAGGAAGGCTCTAGGGCAGAAGTCACATTTGGGCCTGGACAGGAAGAACAGGTACAATTTCCAAGGCTGTGACCAGGCTGGGGAAGGACATCCTCGCCAGAGGAAAGGCCGGAGGCAGAAGCACAGAGACCAAGATGGCCTTGGCTCCACGGGGACTGGGTTCCGCTGAGGAGAGCGGCCCAGCACCCAGTGCCGTGGGCCCTCGAAACTCGGCTACCACTGAGCGAGCAAGCGAGCTGGTGAAGACACAAAGGAGAATGAGAGACAGCAGGAGGAAGGAAGCTGGACAGGGGAGCTGAGGACACAGTATGAAGACCAGCGGTTTTCAGCGGGGGTTGGTTGAGGCCCCCCCAACCCCGCCCCCCAGGATGCCTGGTGATGCCTGGAGACATTTTCATGTCACAGCTGGGTGGGGGGTGGAGGACGGGGGAGGGCTCAGTACCCCTCTGCGCACAGAACAGCCTCCACAACAAAGAACTGCAGGGCCCAGTGTCCGTGGTCCTAAAGCGGAGAGACCTTGCTATGAGCTCGGCTCACTTAAGAGAGGTCCGCTGAGGTTTTTAAACAGAAGAAACCCTGCCAGAGACAAGACGAATTCAGCAGCCTGACATGGGGTGGGCAGGAGCTGCTGGGATGACTCAGGTGAGAACCAACCACGGTCCGAGCTGGCAGTAAGAGTGGAGAGGAGACGGGCCGCAGCAGAGCCTTCCGAGAGCTCCGAGCCGACAGGGCGGAGGGGAAGGTCCCCAGCACAGGGGCAAGTGCCGACTGGCTAGCACTCCTGGAGAGCAAGGAAAACCAGCAATGTTTACTGAGGGCCTACTTGGTCCCGGGCCATCCTTGCAATAACTCTGCGTAGCAGGGAGGGTCATCAGCTCCTCTTTTAAAGATGAGTTGAAACTCAGTCACACTCACAGTGACGCAAAGAAGATAACTCTTTCCAACGTCACACCACCGTCAGGAGAAACCCACCTCTCCCCTGAGAGAGAGGCGCCTGCCACGTAACCATTTCCCTCCACGGCATAGAAGGGCATTCCTTCAGTCCTCGGTCAGAGAGGCCAGGCCAACCCGAAGCCTCTGCACTGAACCGATCAGCTCAGCTCCACCAATGAAAACGTGGCCCAACAGGATCGGGGACACAAGATCAAACGGGCAGCACTTTCCGCCCATCAGCTGAGCAAAATGGAGAGACCACTGAAACACAGCAGCAATCAGCACCGACAAGGGGCTCTTCTGAGCCCTTCAGCTTCGCACAGGTGTCAAAGGCCAATGGGCAGGACCTGTGAAAACCTGAAGAGCACATACCCCCCGACCTCGTAACTCCGCTTCTACCCAGGAATAAACGCAGTGTCCTGAGCAATGCAGCACCATCTGAGACAGGCTACCAGAAAGCAAGCGCGCGCGTCAAGAACACTGTTGATGAACCACGTGCACCCCTGCACAGCCACTTGAAAGAACCACAGGGCCTTGTGTCGACGTGCTGGGGGGAGGCCAGCGGCCGCCCAGTGCAGGTGGGGGTGAGGGGAGACACCGAGCGCCAGTGCGGGCCCCACGGCGGGGCGGGGGCCGGGAGCAGCGTTCCCTTTTCATGCAGTTGAGTCTTCCTGTTTGACTCTTTACATAGGCATGTCCCAAGCGGCAGTTTTTTCTTTCTTTTTTCAATGTTGGGGCACAAAAAAAGACCTTGAGTAGAAAAATGATGGGCCTGCAACAGCTTTTTTTTAAGAAGATAGCTGAAGACTGACTACGGAGACTTCTAGCCTACTCGCCACGCCCCCCTTCCATCTGGTGAGGCAGAAACCAGGGTGTACCGATGCCAGGGGAAAGGATTTAAAACCCAAACACCCAACAGCACCCCAGGGGCACACTCACCTGAGAAAGTGTTGTCTGCGAAACGTAACAGTAAGCTGCTCTTACCGACACCTGCAGGGGAGAGAGCAGGGGGTGAGAGGCGGCCTGGGTGTCCGCTCCAAGACCGACCCCGCTTCAGGGAGACGGGCGGGGTCCCGGCTCTCCAGATGCACGACAGCACCCACCTCCCTCCCCAGCCAGCCTCCCACCAGAACACCTCTCCCCTTTCCACCTCTGACCTTGTCCTCCATCTCAGGGTAAGCCCCAAGCTGCCCCCAAGCCAGAGACAAGAAAGGGGCCCATGCCCGGGTAGAGCAACCCCTCGAGGAGACCCAACAACAGGAATGAGGCTGAGGAAGGCCGAGCCAGTGCTCCTGGCCCCCAGGGGTGTCCAGAACACCGTCCGGAGAAAACACATCACGTGCGGTCCTTCAGCTTGGTGAGACAAGGGCTGCACGGCTGCAAAGCACCCTGGAGACCATCAGGGCTGGTCTGTAGGCCAGGAAAGGGAGGCCCAGACAACTCGAAGCCACTGCTGGCCACTCTCCCCCCGGCCGATGCCACTGGCAGGGAGGGGGCGTCCGCCTGACACTCCTCAGTCCGACAGCTCACAGTGCCCAGACCGCTTCACTTACCACAGCCTCTACTGTTCCAAGGACCGACAGAATCCTCATAAGGATTGCTGCAATCCCATCAACATCCACCCCCGGCAGCATGAGCCCCCAGGGACACCTGTCCTGTCCCGCCCCCGCTGGGTCAGCCAAGCACAGAAGGAAGCCCGCACGCACGCACACATGCCCGCAAGCCCGGCTGCATCTCTTAGGAGGAGGCACCTGAGGCTCCGAGAGCTACACGCTGGTCTCGGGGCCTCGGCAGGGCTGGGGGTGGGTGCTGGATCTGAGTCCTGCTGATACATGCTGCTCTGGGAGTCTTCCTGCATCTGCTTCAGGAAGTGGAATAATAAAAAGACCTGGGATTTCCCTGGTGGCCCAGGGGCTAAGACTCTGCAATCCCAATACAGGGTCCCCAGGTTCGATCCCTAGTTGGGGGTCCCACATACCCCAACTAAGACCCAACACAGCCAACTAAATAATATTTTAAATAAATAAAGAGGCCCAAAGTGGCTGCTCTGTCTCATTCCTGTTAAAGAGTTTTAGCAGCACTACTAAAAGCAAGGCCCGGGGTCTCAGACACTGCCCCTGCACACCCAGCGCAGAGCTAATTGTGAGTACGTGTGTGTGTTCCCCAAACCTGCAGAAGGCGCAGCCTCTGCCTCTTCCCCAGCTGACCCAGGCATTCTCTCTGACCATCTCCTCTGGGGACCTCTCCCAGTGGGTGATTCGCCCAGCGATGCCCAGAAGACCTGGTCGGCCTGACAGAGCGAACTGGGCTTGGACCGTCCCGGAGGCAGGCCAGCGCCACTCTGAGCAGACAGGTGCCGCAGCCCCGGGCCACCGCTCAGCGTCTGTGCGCGCAGGGCCCACTTCCTCATCGCTGCCCCCGCGAGGCTTCCTGCCGGCCGGGCCGAGGGGGAGAGCAGGTCCCGGGCCGGCCCCTCGCAGCGGCGCTCTGCCCCACACCACCACCCCACGGGCCGCCGGCTCCCTGCTTCCTCCCGGAGCCTCCTGGCCCGCTTACTCAGCGAAAACCTTGTGTCTGGGCCACAAGTTCCTGAGTTCCTCCAGGAAGGGGATCCCGCCTCATTCGCCCTGCACAGCCCTGGGGCTGGAAGCCAGGCCCAGCATTTAGTAGGCGCCAACAGAACACTGTTCAGTGAACTTCTGACTAAACCAGGGCCGATCACCTGACGCTATGGCTGCAGCAGGAAGAAGAGCCCAAGCGCGGGTGTTCAAACTTTGGCGGGGGCGGGCGGGTAGCAGAAGCCTAAGGGATGGGGGTATGCCCTCTGCATGAAGCAGGACAGCAGCAGCGTCCCCCTCAGCCTGGCCTTGGGGGGGTGTGGGAGGGGGAAGGGTGGGGCTTCATTCACCCCAAGCTCATCTGCAGAGCTGCTCAAAACCACTATAGTCACCCCGTCAACTGCTGCTTCAGGCCGACACCCACTTCTGGCCTGGCTGGTCCCTCTGGAAGGAAGGGAAACCCACCCTGAGAAACACGTTTCCTAAATGTCTCTGAAGAGGCAGCCTTGGGAACACACGCAGCACCCACAGAAGGAGGAAAGTGCAGGGTGCCGATCGGCCTTCACCTCAGCCGAAGTCAACAGCCTCCCCATGGCCACCCCGGCCCATCACCCTCGACCCCGCAGGAAGTAGAAGCCCGGCCCCTGTTGCCTTCTGGAAGTGGGGAGACAGACTCATCCTGTAGAAAACGAACCCACCACTCTCCGTCTCCACCAAACCCCAGCCCTCCCCGCTCTGCCCCTCGTCCTGCACAGACACTCTGTCCTCAGAAGCCTGCACTGCAGGCCCCACCATGGCCGGGCTCCTCCATCTGTTCCAGCTCCTCCACTCCTCCTCACTTCGGTTCTCAACTGCTGAAGACCCCAAGAGCTTTGAGTAAGGTGTGCTCAGCTTTAATCCTGGCTCAGTAACTAACTCATTGTACAACCTCAGACAAGTCACTCCCCTCTCTGAGCCACAGTTCACTCAGCTGTGGACTCAGAGGCTTTAACTTGATCTCCAACACAGCCTGCGGGTTCTAAGAATGAGTTTGATCAGCCCCCTGGACCAGACGAAATGCTGTTACAGAGCCAATGTCAGAAGCCCCTGAGAGACCATGTACAACCTTAGGCATAGAAAAGAGATGCAAAAGCTGAGAGGATGCATTCCAGAAGCAGGTACAATGTGGCAGAGTGGGAAGAAGAGCTCTAGATTTCTACAGAAAGACTAACATTCATCGAGGGCCTACTGTTTGCCAGGCCTGACACCAGCTGCTCACAACGCATCATGTGCATTAACTCCTGGCTTTGCCCTGAGGAGGGCATGGAAACCCACTCCAGTGTTCTTGCCTGGAGAATCCCATGGACAGAGGAACCTGGTGGGCTACAGTCCATGGGGTCGTAAAAAGTCGGACACAACTTAGCAACTAAACAACAAACAAGTTTATTATTAAACTACTTTGCTCTTTGTTGAAAAAACAACAACAACAACAAAAAACTCCTGGCTTTACCTCTGAGGAGCTGTGCAACTTGGGGCAAGTCGACTAGTCAGCTACTCTGAGCCTTAGTTTCCATATCTGACAAACCACACAGGCAACAGGTAAGAACCAAATGAGAGAGTGTCTATGAAATCGTTTGAAAACCCTTAAGGAAGCATCACATAAGAAGCCAGATTGAGGGGAGGGCGAGATGCCCCTCTACCTTGCTCAGCTGCCAGAGAGTAGCGTGAACTTCCAAGGCTACCACCTCCCAACCTCATGACCATTGGGCGTTGAGTGTCAGCCCACTGTCAGGGAACGTTAAACTGCAAAGCCTACATCTCCTCTACTCAACACAGTCTACATGCTCAGACTAACCAGGGAGTCAGATCCATAAGTCAGATCACTTGACCCAGTGAGTCTTCTCCCACAACTAACTTCAGAGTGAAAAATCAATACACCAGCAGAATGTATGGTGAAAAAGAAGGCCCAAACCATGGCCTGGGTTTCACTGGGAAGAAGAACTGGGGAGAAGGTGCATCTTCTGGCTAAGCTTATGCTTTCCATTTTTGTGGGGCTACACGCAGGCCCCAGGCCTCTTGCAAAGGGACAGGGACCTTGAGCGTGGTAAGCTGACCTAAACTCCAAAAGGACAGAAATCACCTTGGTGCCAGCGCCTCCAGAACCCAGGTGAGGGCTGGGAATGAAGCTCAAAAGGCATAAGTGTGCCAGGACCCTGGGAAACGCCCAAGGCCGTGCTGGTCTTGAGGCTACACAGCTGGTCTGGGTTTCTCTCATTCACACCAGGAAGAATTCATGCTCCCCTGGCCACAGCTACTCTTCATCTCCCTCATTAGCCCTTAAACTTTTCTCCCTTCCATGGGCAACCACAGAAACCTCAGCCATCCTTCACCTGATCCGAATCACCTGCCACGTCGCAATCCATCTCCACAGTGAGACCACGACCCACCCACTTGCCTGCTTCTGCCAGGGCCCTGACACAATGCTCCCACTTCAGGGCCTAACAACCCCTCGATTTGGTCCCCGCTTTCCCTAACAATCCATGGGCTCCACCACCGACCTGGCCTCTGCCTACAGTCACATGATACCCTTGTCAGCACTCAACTCAGGTCTGGTCTGTAAATATGGCACGTTCCCAAGCCTCCCTCCCCATCATAAAACCCCAGCACCTCAGCTATGCTCATATAAACCTCCCAGGGCCTGCCTCCCTGACCTCTTGGTCACCCCATAAACCTGCTTACCTGCCACACTCCAAACACCTCTACAACCCTCTACCCTTTCTCAGAAACAAGCCTACCTTTTCTAAAGATGTTGGATATCCATTCATTCAATACATACATGCTAGGCACCACCTGAGTGCCAGGCACTGGAGAGGGACCTAGGAGCTCTCCGGGAGGGCACGCTCTTTGTAATGTTGGCTGACCCACCTCAGGCTCTGTCCAGCAGACCAGTGTGCAACAGCAAACACACAGGGAGCGCTCACTATGTGCCCGGTTCTGCACACTCCGCATGCATTATCTCCTTGAACACTCCATCAGCCCAGCGAGGCTGATCCCACTATTGCTCCATTTTGCAGATGAAGACAAGGAACCCCACAGAGAGAATAATTCAGCAGGAATGTGCCAGACCCGGCGCGAAGTGCTTTACCTGTCTTACTTCATTTAAACTTCACAGGAATCCCATGAGGCAGGTTCTGAGATTACCGCGCTCCCCCTGCACCCACTTTCCCCAGGCAGAAACCCAGGCTTACAAACGCTACTGACAACCACACACCAGAAGCTCCCTTTCCGCCAGGTCCAGTGCGAAGCACTTTTCCAGCTCCATCTCACCCAAGACTCACGCACCACCCAGCGAGGTTAAGTCCCCACCTCTCAGATGAGAGAACCGAGGTTCGGAAAGGCGAAACACCTCGCCCAAGGTCAGGGTGAGGAAGCTGGTAGTCCCGAGACTCGAACCCGGCTCCCTCCAACTCCAGAGGATCGCGCGACTGGACCAAGGTCACACGTGGGGCAGAAGGGCCGGCGCGGCGAGTGGACCGGGAGCCTGGACCCGAGCCCTGCGCGCCCGGCCCCTCCGCTCCGCGGCCCCGCGCCCCGGCCTCACCCCGGCGCGCCCCGGAGCCTCTCCGCGCGCCCCTGGGGCCGCCCGGCCGCCCCGCCCGGCCGCCCGGCGCGGGCCGGCACCTCCCCGCCCGCCCGGCCGCCTGCCCTCCCCGAGGCCCTTGCGGGCCGCGCCCGGCAGGGCCCACGCCGCCTCCGGCCGCCGCGGCCCTCACCGCTGTCGCCGATGATGAGCAGCTTGAAGAGGTGGTCGTAGTCCCGGGCCATGGCGGGCGGGGGAGGCGCGCGCGCGCGCGAGGGCGAGCGGGCGGGGTCGGTGCTGGCCTCGGGATCCGCGGCTCCCTCCGGGCTGCTCCGGCAGCGGCGGATCCACTTCCCGAACAAACAGCCGGAACTGACAGAAACACCTCCCTCCGCTCCCCCTCCTCCTCCTCCTCCTCCTCGGCAGCGGCCGCCGCTGCCGCCGCCTCGCTCCTTCCCGCCCCGCCCCGCCACTGCGCAGGCGCAGCGCCTGGCCGCGCCTCCGCGCAGCCGCAGTGGCGGCCAGCCGCGCCCTCTCGGCGCTCGCGCACGGCGCCTGCGCCCTGTTTAGGGGCCCGCGGGCGCGGGCAGGTCGTGCCCGTGGCTCTTCGGCGACCGTCGCCGCCGCCGCCACCCGCCCGCCGTCCGCGGCCTGCTGCGCGGGAGACTCCGAGAGCGCACCTGCGGCCAGGCCCTAGCTGCAAGATTCCCGGAGTGCCGGGAGAGGCCGGCCGTGGCCCTGGGTGGACTTGCTGCTGCTGCTTCATCTTCTAGACCCGCAAGCGCTGCGGAGAGGGACCGACTAGCACGCAGCGACCGGGCGGGGCGGGGCTTACGCCAGGCTCCCGGCTTCTTGGGACTGGGGACTCGGGACACTCCGCCCCCATCTGCCTGGACACCGCCTCCGAGGTGCTGGCTCCAGGCCCCCCCCGCCGTGTCCCGGGGCCCGTGGACTGGACGCCGAGGGCGGCTGGAGGCTGCGGGAGTTTTTACCGAACCGTGTGAGCAGCGTGACCTTTGACGGCAGCGCTGGGGCAGAGTCACAGCCCAGCCCCGCGATCTCTTGGAGCCTGAGATGCCCCGTTGGTAAAGCGGGCCGAGAGGTTCCAGATTCCGGGTCCTTGTCCAACCTGACGCTGAGCCTGCGAGATGAATGGCCTGGTGTGTAAGATGCACCCTTGAGATCGATAACAGCAGCGCCCTCAGCTTCAGTTGCACCCCACCAACAGATAAAACTTCTGCAGATTGTGTGGTAGGAAGACCGGGGCTGCCGACGTTAAGCGGTATTCAGTTTATCATCAGCCCTAGGGTTCCCCCCCCCCCACCCCCGGGTTTAGAGTAAATTCCTGACTGCCCTAAAAATAGGTTGCGCCTACTGCCATCCTCGTTTGTAGAATTGCAGGGAGAAAACGTTACTGATGAGTTACTGATGAGTTCCGTGTAGCTCCGTCCCTTTATAGTCAAGTGCCTGCTAGATACTTATTTTCCCAAACTTATTTTGACTTTCTACAAAGTAATGCCTGTTTGGTTTTTTTTTTATGTACAGAAGCTTACCAGAAAGTACAAGTTACCATTTTCCCCCTCAGACCCACCCCTCACAGGTTACTAAGTTTCTTGATACCTTAAAATGGTTGACAAATATTTGAATGAATAAATGTCTTTCACTGAATTGTCTTTGCCTGTGGAACACACATGTGTGTAAATTGCCTTTTCTCTCTTAAGAGCATACTTAGACCTTCTGTCATTTCACAACCTGGGAGCACTCCAGCATTGGCCTACTATAATTTGACCACTCTGCTGTTGATAGGCATTCACGTTTACAATCTCTTATTATACAGGGAAGATCCTTGAGTAGCACATGGGGTGTCTGACTCAAGCTTTAAGTTGTTTTTCCAGGAGCTGAGAATCGGCCTGGTGATGACCAAAGAACATGGGCTTAGGATCTGAAGGTACTAGCTGGGAGGTGAAGTGAAAGTGAAGTTGTTCAGTCGTGTCCAACTCTTTGCGAGCTCTTCATATGAGCATTGAAACAACATGGTCCTTCTTGCTCTGGGAAAGGTTAGTGGGATCCCCTTTGATCTAGCAGTTTTAGGAAATACAAGAGAAGAAAGAAGCCTCAGTTTCCCCCCAGGCAGGCACAATCCACCCTGCCCGCCCAGTGAGGCAGGTTGCTCTGGATCACCTTCTCAACCTGCTCTGGAATCAGACAGGCTTTGGTTCAATTGCTAGCTTTGAAATTCTGGCACCACCCCTTAAAAGCTTTTGAGAGTCTGGAAAAATCACATCACAATGTCTCAGAGCCCCCAGTTTCCTCATAATAGTTGTGAGGATGAAAGATGGTTGCAAATCACCCGGTTCCTACAGGCATATGATAACAGTAACAGTAATGCTGTTAAACCTGAGGTCATTTTGCACTGACTCATTCCTGCTTTGGGCCATTTACTGTTGCAGACCTGAGCACACATGCCCAGGGAGGCCTCTTGAGAGCACGGCTGTAGGATACTTTGAAGACGTGGAGCAGAATCAGCCGTTATGAAGCCCAGACTCCTCTGACTTGCCTCCATGTGCCTTCTAGGAAGCAATGGGTGTTAATTCCTGTGCCACAGACTCTAGGATAGAGTTTTCCCAACCAGGAGCTTTCAGTTTCATCAGAGATAGACACACTTGTGAGGAATAAAAAAATACAAGATGAAATAGCTGTCAGATTAGCAGACTAGACTTCAGAGGACAGCTATCACTTTTGGTTAGAATGGCGGGGGGTCGGGGGGTGGATTTCATCATAGAGGTTTCATGATGGAATTGGAATTGAGAGAGCTGGGAATGGCAGGTGTGTTTTAATAGCTGTTGTCACAGCCCTGAGGATGATCTGTGTTAGCCTTGAAGGAGAATTCCCCATGAGACAGGATGTGTGCCTGACCCCCCAAAGTGAAAATCTGAGCACATTTTCCTCTAGAAACATTGTTGTACATGATCTAAACCACAATGCAGTGACTGGAGCTATGTTATGGTAGATAAAGTCTATATTTAGAACAACATAAACTTTTGTGCCCCCAGAGGTAAGTAGCAGTATGTGCTGCCAACAGGAAACTTTGTTCCACTGTTCTGAAGGGCCAGCTTAGCCATTATGAGCTTTGCAACACCACGTGTTCAGACCTTACAGCGACCACAGCAGGGAGGCACTCAAAAGTTCCTGAGCAGAGGAGTAGTATCAGAATGTTCAGGAGGAAGTTATCTGGTGCAAGCACACAGGAGGGATTTTCAGCTGCAGAGCTTTAAAGAAGGCTACTGCTGAAGCCCAGGTGTGAAGTAACAGCAAGAAGAACCAGGTGCAAAAGACAGTATGCAAACAGTATCTACCAATTTTTTAGAAAAAAATTTACCTGACACCTGGATCCCTTTACTAGTAAGGTAGGTATTGTGCACCTACTGGCTGCCAGCACTGAGGACATAACAGGAGCAAAACAAAACTCCATCGTCAGGAATTTACAGTACAACTGGGTAAGACAGTGAACATTTGAGGGCTCACGGCTGCCAGGCAGATGGAGGAGCCGGGGAGGTGGCAGGAAATAAAGCTTTCAAGTCCCTGCTTCCATGGAGCTCACATTCTGATAGAAAATGCAAATAAATAAATACACGTTAAAAGAAAAAACCAAGGAGAGTAACAGGGACAGAGTATACAGAGGTTTACAGGGCAGACAGTGATGCCCTGAAGGCAGTGGGTATATACTGTTCATTCAGTAAGTCTGGTTGTGAATGAAGAGAAATGAAGGGGCTGCTGAGAACAGTGGGGTGAATAAAGTATTTTCCAGGATAGCGTAGGTAGAGGATTGGCAGCCAGTGAACACTAAGGATAGAGTAGTAAGGATGGGAGGAAGGTGGGTTAAGAGCACTTTAAAAAGCTCAACTAGCAGAGGAGAGTCGAGTGCTGCGGAGGCTGAAGGGAAAGGGGAGGGACCCCTGAGCCTGAGGTCTGGGTTCAGAGCCAGCAGTGCCCGGGGGGGGGGAGGAAAGATGAGGGCTAGTGCAGCAGAGGCTGGGGAGGGACCTGGGAAATGCACAGTTCAGGCTGGTCAGCAGTGGAGTCTGAACTTGCTGAACTCTGTTGAGGGAAGAAACAATTGCTGCAATCAGGTGACGGGAAGTGGGTACAGATAAGAACAGAGGGCAGCACCACCCAACATGCTGGCCCAGGAGGGAGGGAATAAATGGATCCGTGGTCTCTCCTCTGATGGGCCTGAGAACTGGCCCCTTAATCCCCATCTGCATGTTGCAGGCTGAATCCTATCAAGAGACTTGGCCTTGCCCTTTGGTCACCCCTCTTCCCCATCAAGTAGACATGAAGCCCCTAGACTGCAGGGACCATCCTGATACCCACTGGGACCTGGACACAGTGGGCACTTGGTTTCCATTCAGTTAAAATGAAGCCACACCTAGAATTTAGAGTTAGGAGCCTCAGAAATAACCCGATGGAACTTTCTCGAGTTTGCTTTCTGTGAGGTGTGGACCAAATTTGGGGTCTCTTATTGTAACTCAGGGTCAGGCCCCCTCCCATTATAAGTAGGATTTTTCTCCCATCTTCAAGATTCGATCAGAATTTTCTAACTGTGGTCTAGAGACACCAAGGCTCCCTGTGAGACTCTAAGGATATGTGAAGCTGAAACATTTTCACAAAACTGAGATGTCATCTGCCTTTTCCACGCATTCCTTAAGAGTGCATGTTGGAGTCTCCCAGGGCCTGCACAACATGGGACATCACAGTCGACTGAATGCAGAAGCAGACGTGAGAATCCAGAAATGCAGAGGCGTGCAAAAATGCAAAGCAGTGCTGCTCTCCTCAAACTTAACATTTGTTACATGGTTATCTATGCTTATGTGTAATAGATTTATTTTAGGTGAATTAATGGAGCTTCTAAAGTTAACTGTTTTTCTAAGATGGTAAGTATCAGTAGGCAAGTTACATATAACCAAGAGTTCTTTGGGGTCCGCCATCATTTTTCACAGTGTAAAGGAGTCTTGGGGCTGAAAGATTTGAGAAACACTGTGTTAAGTACTGCAGTACCCCAAGCGTCCCAGTTCCCTTCTTTATGAGAGTCTAAATGGTAGTTTGTGACCCAGCTGCCATCTCAACCAGCCCTCAGAGAAGCATCAAAGTGAACTGGTATTTCCATCCACACACACTCAGGAATCTCACCCAGAAATCCCACTGAGCTGATAATCTTTGGACTAGTTTTTCCAGTTTCCTAAGCTTTGTTAGGATCAACACCTACCTTCCACTGGGGCAGCCTGCAGGGAACCCTCCTGGCAGCTCAGAACCGCCCAGTGAAACAACTGGGCTCCACCTCTTCTAAAAAGTGAAACCCACTCACTTCACAGAACCACATGCCAAGAACTTGACTTGTTTGTTAAATTTGCCTTCCAAAAGTATTTTTATAGTATCACCCCGGGGCTTGGTGACCACAGTATCAAGAAATGTGGGTTTGCTTTTCCAGTTCTGCAGCCAACTGGCCACATGACCTTAGAGACGCTCCCTTCCTTCCTTACCTCAGTTTTGTTGTTGTTCAGTTATCCAGTCCTGTCTGACTCTTTCCAACTCTATGGACTGCAGCACGCCAGGCCTCCCTGTTCCTCACCATATCCTGAAGTTAGCCCAAGTTCATGTTCATTGCATCAGTGATGCCATCCAACCATCTCATTCTCTGACACCTCTTCCGCCCTCGATCTTTACCAGCATCAGGGACTTTTCCAATGAGTTGTCTGTGCGCATCAGATGACCAAAATACTGGAGCTTCAGCTTCGGCATCAGTCCTTCCAATGAGTATTCAGAGTTGATTTTCCTTAAGACTGACTGGTTTCATCTCCTTGCTGTCCAAGAGACTTTCAGGAGTCTTCTCCACCAGCACAGTTGGGAGGCATCAATTCTTTGGTGCTCTGCCTTCTTTATGGTCCAGCTCTCACAACCCTATGTGACCACTGGGAAGACCACAGCCCTGACTATATGGACCTTTGTTGGCAGAGTAATGTCTCTGCTTTTCAACACACTGTCTAGGTCATAGCTTTCCTGCCAAGAAGCACTCGTTTCTTGACTTCATGGCTGCAGTCACCATCTGCAGTGATTTTAGAGCCCAAGGAGAGGAAATCTGTCACTACTTCCACCTTTTCACCTTCTATTTGCCATCCAGTAATGGGGCCGGATGCCATGATCTTAGTTTTTTTAATATTGAGCTTTAAGCTGGCTCTTTCACTCTCTTCCTTCACCCTCATCAAGAAACTCTTCAGTTCCTCTTTGCTTTCTGCCATTAGTGGTATCATCTGCACATCTGAGGCTGTTGACGTTTCTCCCTCCTGTCTTGATTCCAGCTTGTAACTCATCCCGTCCAGCATTTCTCCTCATAAAAATCGGGCTGGCTCCCAGCCTGTCCTACTTCAGCAACGACAGGACTGCTGTCCAGCCCGGGCACAGTGAAGACCTGTCCACGTGCTTACATGCCTCTCTTCGGTGTTCGAGAGACTACATTCAAACACAGTAATCAATCCCCCGGAAAGATGTGACTCTAGGTTGACTGCTTTTCAAAACTTGGGCTCAAAAAATTAACACCTGCAAATTCTGGGTCCATGGTTACCCTTCAGATCAGAGCACTAGGTGCCCACGCTTCAGTCTGTTTGTCCACACACCTCGCTTTACTCACACCATCCATGGATGCAGAACCTCCTGTGGGCCCGCCATGTACGGAGTGCGTTACCTCACCCACTCCAGACAGCCTGGGGGGCTGGTCTGTCACTGTCCAGGCGAGGACACGTTCTCATAGAGGTTAGGGGACATGCTCTGGCTTAACATGAAGCAGTCAAGTTAAGGTTTAAACCTGACTTCCAAGTCCATGCGGCTCCACCAGGGTGCTCTGTACGAGAATTTTAAAGAAACAGCTGTTTCCTTAAAAATATTTTAGAACCTAGATCTTTAAATTAGGCTGGTTCCTGTTTTTCCTATTGCTCTTATTTAGAAAGGCTTGGAGCAGTTAAAAGACCGGTCCACACAGAACCCTAGTTAGAAGAAAAACATCCCCAACTGCCTGTGTTGTTTTGACATCCACTCTCAGTAAAATCATGTCCCCAAATCCCTGCCAATAAAATAGTGTTGACTCTGCAGGTCCCCAGCCCCCTCCCAAGCCCTCCAGCATCCCGGCAGTGGGATGAAGGCAACGACAAGGGACGTGAACCACGACATATTCCCCCACATTTTAAAACAGTTTCAACGCCAAGATTCCACAGGCTCCCAGAGTTAAAAGGGTTGAGAACGTTGTTTAGTTTTCTCCAGATTAGCTAAAGGCACACCATCTTGTCACTGCCCTTCTAACACATGGCAGACAAAGATAGGGGTCCCCTCTCTCACAAAGTCTCAGAAAGGCGTCTTTTCGAAGAACAGGAAGTGTCCTGTACGCAGGGTGAGGCATGGCTCAGGCCCGTGGCCAGTCACCTAGAGCCGCCTCGGCACTTCACCTCGTGCGCTGCAGGACGAGAGGCCTGCAGGAACCAGTCTATAGAGTGACAGTGACAAGGCTTGTGCCCAGCTAGCCAGCGCAGCAGGAGGAAGAGACAGGCAAAGGACACGAGTGGCTCTGGGGACAGACCGCCACTTAAGACTATCCCACACCTCAATTTCCTCCTCAGGAAAAAAGTCGTAACTAGAGAACCTACTCCACAGGTTGGGTGTGTTAAGTGGGAAAAAAGAGCCAAATGTCACCTGTTATAATTACTATTAATCCCTAAAGGATAACTTTAAGACATATGGAGAGCTTCCATTCCAAATTCCTCCTTTTGCAGATGAGAAAACTGGCCCAGAAAGGCTGGATGACTCCCCTGAGGCTTAACAGCCCTACCAACCACCAGGGCAGATGGCTTCGTTCTCTGCTGCCAAGCACCTCCTCCTCCAGGGTGTTCAGTCTGGGCAGCCGTCTTCAGGACCGCAGTGATTGTGGGCTGGCGGGGTCCTCTTCACCGGCTCCACTGGCATGACTGTGACAGCCCTTCGCAGCCCACTTCCAGACTCAGGGGATGCACGTCAGTGCACTCCAGGACTGAGTCATCTCTGTCAATCAGCCTCCATCCGTCCATCCATCCTGAATAGAGAGATCTCATTGTCCTCCAGTCTCTGAGTGGGAACCCAGTGTTTCTCCTTTGAAAATGTGTCAGTTACTCAGCCATGTCTGACTCTTTGCAACCCCATGGACTGTAGCCTGCCAAGCTCCTCTGTCCGTGGGATTCTCCAGGCAAGAATATTGGAGTAGGTAGCCATGCCCTTCTTCAGGGGATCTTCCCAACCCAGGGACTGAACCCCGGTCTCCTGCATCATGAGCAGATTCTTTACTGTCTGAGCCACCAGGCAGGTTTGGACTTTGCTTACTAAGAGTCCCCCAGCTGTAAGTACATCAGGCTCTCCTCCTGATATGAGACTGGGCACGGCACACCAGAGGTGGACACAAGTGTCTGCTCTAAGATCCTGGAGGAAGCACTGAACACTTACCTCGGGGGCTTAAAAGAGGCTTCCCAGCCCACAACCCCTCCCATGAGAACTTCACCTGCCTCCCCAGGGCTGACTGGCAGAGGTGACTGCAGCTGCAACTGGCTTGCTGGACAAGTGCCCCAGGCAGCTGGGAGCCTGCCAGCGATCATCTGAATCCCAGGAGCAGAGGACAGTTACCATGGCTACCAAAGCTGTAACCATTGGCTGCTTTGGCTGTGGGGACCGGCTCAGCTGCCCTCTCAAGGTCCCTTCCAGCCCTGGGACTCTACAGTTCCAATGAGCCAGTGGAGACCACATCTGTTGCAAGAAAATAGGAAGTCCTCTGACACAAAAGGCTCAGACAGACAGCAAGCACCTCAGAGGCCACCTTGTCTTATTCATCAGAAGTGCTGAGTCACAAGGCTACTTTCTACCTCTGCTGCATTATTAATAGGCAAAGCCTCGCTTTTGTTTGTTTTTTGGTATAGTACTTCAGGCCTTTTATAATGTGAGCTCGCTCCCACCATGTTTCATTTTTTTTCTTCCTTTTACAGCTCATACTCATTTTGGTACAAGTTTTGTTCCGTATTGTGACCAGGGAAAACAGCCCAGGAACACCTGCGTCACTGGGGCCCGGAGGGGCGGGCTCCATCAGACAGGACGCCTGGATCACGAGCCTTCTAAGAACCAGGAGGAAGGAAGTCATTCATAAAGGAGGCAGATACTCAACTGCGACTTTGGTTTCCTCTCGCAATTCTGATTACAGGAATGTGGTTTGTTCTTATTCCACAGAAGGGAAGACTTTTCTCTGTAAAACTCGACTCTCAGAAGCTGCCTACCTTTCTGAGTCAGGACAGAGCAGGGAGGCGGTTGATTTGACCCCTGGGATCTCCACACCAGTGAGATCTCAGGCCTGATTGCAGCCCTCTTGAGATCTGGTCTCAGAACAGACATGGCTGCAGGTATCTACGGGACTTCAGAGAGCAGGAGAGACGCCCAGAAATCAGAGTTAGTTGCCTGTGCTCATGGGGACAGCTGCATGAGGCTTTGCCTTGCTCCTGATGCACAAAGCTTCATGTTTAGTGGAGTTTGGAGATTTTTAAAAATCTGCTTATCAAGATCAAATCAAAGCCTTTATTCAACATCCTTCCTTCAAACTACCTGTGTTTAAACCTGCTCCCCTCCCCCAACTTGCAAACTACTAGGGCTGTGCAAGTTCTGTCCCTGTCACCTGATGGGTCAGATCCAGGTGGGCTGCACAATGCTGAAAAGCCACGCCGAGATACTGCGCGGGCAGGCCTCTGCGGTTCTGTGCCCCTCGGGATCTAGGCAGAGGTTGGAAGCACTGGCCCTGGAGCCAGAGCTCTGGCACAAGAGACCGGGAGGCGGATGTCTGAGCCTCGCATCCTGGACCCAGCCACGCAGAGTGGACGAGCAGCTCCTGGTGACCACTGGGCGAGGCTCAGGCGTGTGCTTTTTCTTCTCTTCTCCAAAGAAAAGGGTGAGAGATGGAGGAGGCAATTTTCAGTTGTGTGTAGGTTTGATTTAAGGCTTTGGCTGTGGTCTGTTGATATATTAAAATACTTTCTGGGAACGCCATCTCCTAAGCTCCCCATCAGAACAAATGTATTTTCAAAAATGAAAACAGTGAACAAAGAGGTGGAGCTGAAATGCTGACGCAGAGCCCAGCGGACGGGCCTGGGTCTGTCAGGTCAGGATGGTGTCGTCCACCTGCTCCGTGGAGTCGGCCTGGCCAGCCAGCTTCTTCAGAGACCTCCGGTTGCATTCATTCAACACTTCCAAGCTGGCCACATCCAGGATCTTGCAGAGGGACTGGGGGGAGGAGGGAAACGAGGAGACAAAAATCAGAAAGTGTGGCTTCCGATTTCTCCAATCAAAGACAACACTGAATGCGGACCCAGAACTAGAACCACTGAGGGGGACCCTGGCACAGCAAGGAGGCTGGGTGATCCAGGCACAGCCAAGACATGCAGGCCTCATGCCCTGATGCGAGGACGGAGTGGAGCCTGGAGTGCTCAGCGCTTTAAAGGTGGCTCAGCAGGCAGGGGGCTGAGGGACAGGACTCTGGGCCCCAACAGGCAGCCCGGGGGGCCTGTACAGGTTTGGGAGCCACCTGAGGTTTTACCTGAAGGAGGAGCCCTACTGCAGCAGGGCTCCCACTTCAGTAGATTCCTACTGAAAGGAATTTGAACACCTCAGGAATAGAGGGATGCGTTTCTAGGCACCAGACCAGTCACCAGATGACTATCTGCCCGTCAACACGCATGCCTATGGGGTGGCAGAATATGAGCCTCAAACACTATCATGCAGAAGGCCCACAAGACAAGCACCCCAAAGCCGCAGGGAGGCCCGCCAGTCCCAGGCTCCCACCTGAAACACTTCCTCTCCCTGCCTCATCTTGAGGAGGTTGACAATTGCCTGGTCGCTGTAGGCCCTGACGACGGTGTTTTTATCCTTGGTGTTGTCCAGGAGGGCCTTCAGGATGGGCTTGATGGCCTGGGGGTCCAAGGCAGGCAGCGGGTCCTTGTTTGCCCACCAGATCATCTTCTCAGCCACCAACCTGATGTCACTGGATGGGTTCTGCAGACACTGTGAAGAGGAGCACGGGCTTTCCGTCAGGCACATCCAGCCTGCTCCTCGCCGCAGCCCAGGCTCTGCCCTGACGCTGCCCTCGTCGTGGGACCTGACCCCCTGCTCCCTCCACGGCGTCCCCACTGTGGGAGGGCGGCCGGGTATGTTCGGACCCTACCTCCTCCACGTCATCTCACACCACCTTCTCCTTGGCTCGGCACTCTCAGCCCACGCAGGCTTCCAACTTCCTCAAAGGCCCCACGTTGCTTCCTGCCTCACGCCCCTGCGCTGGCGGGCCCCACTGCCTGGGACGTGCTTGCAGATCCTCACCTGGTCGGTCCCCTCTCATTCTTTAGGCTTCAGCTCAGATGTCAGCCTTCAGGCATCTCCCCGACAGCCCTATCTAGATGAGGGCCCTCCCACAGGCCCTTTGTGTACCTCCACCTCCAGAGATCTTGTCTGCCCCACTCACCTCCGTACTTCAGGGTCTAGCCTGGCCATGCACACAGCCGGTCCTTAGTAATGAACACTGAGGACAGCTGCATGCGGGCTGACACAGGCTCAGTGCAATCAGGGCCCCGCACACCCTCCTCTCTGGGTGTCTGCAGAGTGGGGACAGCAGACGTGGGAGCCACAATCTCAGAGTGAGGTCAGTGCACTGAGGCTACTGACACTGCCCGGGGGCTGGTTACAAAGGCAGGGTGTAGGGCTCGGCCGCATTTCTTAAAATGCAGTTTCTGATTTTTTGTGCACACCAACATTTGAGCAGCGTGTTTTATCACACAGATGCTGCAGGCCCCTCTGCCAGGCTCCCCAGCTTTCCCAAGTGGGTCCTGCAGCCAGGACAGCCTGGCAGCCACCACAACAGCCATGCCTGCTACCCCATGCACACAAGAGGCCTACCCAGCAAGTACTGTCATGCCTGCTAAAGGGAGGCAGGAAAGCGAAGATAAATTTGAACCCAGGTCTGTCCCAAAGTTTGCAAAATTGGGGTGCCTAGAAAGAATGCCTAAAACAGAGGTTCTTAACTTGATTTGGGGTCATGGATCTATGGGAGACTCTGACAAAAAGTCGGGCAAAAAAAAAAGAAAAGTTGGGCAGTCTTCCAGAGATCATTCTGCATCCCAGCTGTACGGGATCAGAGACCCCCCCCCACCCTGCAGGCCAGCCTCAGAGTGCCTGGAACACACGAACACACTTCCGGGGTCTTCTGGTCACGGGTCCTTTTCATGAGCCAGGCTGCCCCGCTCACCTTAATGAACAGGCTGGAGAGTTTGGCCGGCAACTGTCCTCCTCCGGTCTCGATGTGGTGCTTCATCAGGAAGCCCATGCCCCGGACCCCGCTCACAGCGATGGGGATCTGGAAAGTGAGTGGAAAGCTAGATGGGGTGCCTCCGGCTCCCTCCTCGGGGCAGCAGGGCCAGGCACCGTCCCTTCCCCAGGCATTTCCGGGGGCCCTGGCTCTCCACCACCAGTCCCCACCCCGCCCCCGACTACATCACCACCGAGACTCTTTGATGGCTCTCACTAAGAGGCTCTGCCTGGCTGTGGGGCAGGTGAACAAAGCCTGAGACACTAGTTCCCAGGAACAAAATCAGAGACTTTCTGGCCTAGAAGGGACCTCTGGATGCTCCAACCCAACTCCTCACTGTTCAGATGATGAAACTGGCGCCCAGGGAGACCAAGCACTGGCCCCAGGGCACAGGAGGTTACTGGCAAGTGAAATGCGAGCCTCTGACCACCTGGTCCAGCCGCCGCAAAGCCTCACCCTGTCCGCCATGGCGTTACTGAGGATCATGTCCTGGACGTCACCGCCATACTTGCCCACGCAGAGTCTGCTGGGAGCCACGCTCACAGCCACGGAGAGAGCCAGGCTCCGCCCGTGCCGAACCATCCAGTCAATGCCAGACACATCCGCTGGGTGGAAGGACATAGGGAGGTCGACCTGCACCGTCTACCACCCGCGAAGCCCACCTCCACCACCCGAGACTCGTGTGTCAGCTCAGAGCCTGGTGGGAGCCCCAGTCCTGCACACGGACTTCCCTGCCCCAAGTGGCCGCCGAGAGGCCGTCCCTCACAGGCCACTCCCGATCACGGCTGCGTCCTCAGAGCAGAGACGCTCTGGGCTACAAGACTCCCGGAAACTCCATTTTGTTTTGACATTTCCAAGGAGAGGGTGGTCCAGCTGCCAGAAGACCCTCTGAGGGGCGAGGGAGACAGAGAAGCCCTGAAAAGTGTACACAAGAGGCCTACCCAGCAAGTACTGCTGAAGAACGGTGCTGAGCTCCTCTTCCGTCAGAAAGGCGCACAGCTCCCCCAGGCACCCGGCCGAGGAGATGCGCGTGTTGTCCTGATGGGGCAGAGGAGGTGGTGAACCAGGGTGCTAGCCCACATTGGCTCCGCGGGCACCAGCACGGGAGGGAGGCGGACGCCAAGTCCAGTCCTCCCTCCAGGCGTGCGCACTCCCGCCGCCAGGGCAGGGCTGCCACTCACTGCGGATGCCACTCGGCGCCGAGTTAAAAATTACACACCCAGCACTTAACTTAATTATAGAAAACTCCAGAGTGTGTGCATATGGTGATCATCATCATAATAGCAACAATAACTGTATTTACATAGCACCTTTCTTCTTACAAGCCTGAATGCTTCACGTTTATTATCTCAGTTACTATCAACAGCCCTGTGAGGCGGGGAGGGTGCAAGCTCTGCCCACAGTCCTCAGGGAAAGCAGCTGGAGGACCACTGGGAGCTCCACCCCACCCCACTCCCAAACCTCTCATGTGTCCGCCTGTGTCCAGAGAGGCTCCCTGCTGCCTAACATTGTGTGGGTCTGTCCTGGAAGTCAGACTGAAGCTCTAATTGGCCCAAGGCAATAGGGAAAGGCTGAGGGTTCTGTGTCAAAACCAGCCTTGTACATAAGCGCTTCCTGGCCGCTCTCCCTGCTGGCTCACTACGGGATGCTGTGCGGAGGATTTTGGGTTACATGCTATAGTATTCGAAGTGCCAACTTGGCGTGCCTCTCCCAAACAAAACAACCGACAACCAACCAGGGCCTCAAGGGCCAGTGGGGAGGCATGAGTCAGGCCGGCACCCTGGATTGCCACCTCTGATCCAGTGGAAGTTCTGAGGGGAAGGAGGGTGGCCAGCCGGCAGTCTGGGCTTCTGAGCTCCCAGGTGTCACACGAGGCTAAAGTTGGCTCTCTCTGACACAACACCCACAAAGGGGTCTATTTTAAGCTCCACTGTGGTAAAATGCAAATTGGTTTACATACTAACTTTTGCTTGCACTGTGAGTGGCCCTATAAAAGCCCTGACAGACCGTGACCAAGAGAAGGCAGAGGCTCCCATCTGCACCCCACAAAAGGCCGGGGCCTCAGCTGCGGGGGATAACTGGCCCTGGGCATGGGCAAACGAGGTGTGGCCCCATATGAACCCCGAGGCCTCTCTCCAGAGATCAGCCCCACAGCATCAATCTGGCGACATGGCAGAGAGATGTCTGTCAAAGGAGAAAGAGAGAATCCTTCTCAAAGACTCAACCGCTTCGGGGCTCACCAGAGTGCAAGGCAGCCAACTGGTACTTCACAGATGCTTGCAGACAGGGCCAGGAAGGGCCTTGGGACAGAGAACCAGGAGTCACGGGCTCAGTCCCAGTTCTCACTCTACCACGTGCTAGGGCACGGCCCCAGGTCAGTCTGCCCCTCACAAAAACTGCTGAGCAGCCCCCTCCCGGACAGACACCAGACACTGTTTCCTGGGGGCTGTGCCCACGCTTCATTCACCTCTTGGCGAGGTCTGCACATCAGCAAATGTTTCCTGAACCAAAAAGCGAAACTCTTCATTTTACAACTGGGGAAATGAGGGGCAGAACGGGGGAAGTGACTTGTTTAAGACTGGAGAACAAATGAACGAGAGACCTGGGACTTCAGAAACCTTAGCTTCCCTTATCTATACGATACATCGCCCATATCAACACTAGGTGCCTGTCTCCCGCATGACCACAGGTGGGGCAAACCACAGAGTGGCACGAACATCAGCAGTGATGATCACTCCTGACCAAGTTCTGCTTCTCGAGGCAGAGACACCAGCCCAGGGAAGGGAAACCAGCCCAGCCCACGCGCCCCGCGTCCACCTGTGGCGGTACCTCGTCGTGTCCCAGCATGCTCAGCAGGAGCGAGACGATGTTTTTCCGGATGACCACATCCACTTTGGCCCCCGCTCCCTGAATCACAAACCTCAGGGCCTGCAGCATGGTGTCCCTGCAGAACCAACGCACCCGACTCAAACCCGGCTCTCCTCCACCCGCGTTCCCACTGCACAGGCAGGGCTGGGCCACCCCATGGCCACGGCTCTCCCCGCACCAGTGCCTCACCTGACGCCCGGGTCCTCCATGACCCGGATGCCGTTCAGCAGCTCCGTGAAGAGAGGATCCACCTTGATGTGGATGGAAATGAGCTTTCCCAGTGCGTCGGCGGCCTTTAGGCGCACGCCGCGGTTAGAGTCCTGCAGGGCTTTGGTGAAGGTGGTCTGTAGCTGGGGCAGGAAGGGCTTCAAGGCGATCCCGACCTGTCAGAGAGACCCCCAATCCCAGAGCCTGGCTGAGGGAGAGTGCGGGCCACAGGGCACCACAGGCAGGAAAACAGAGCACCCCGAACCCGCGTGGCTCCACACTCAGGCCAGGAGTAGCAGCGCCGCAAGATGGGGGGGCCCAGCACAGAGGGTCCCCTCAGCCTCCTCTTCTGTTTCCAGCTTCCTGCAGGCTGGGAGCCGTCAGCTCGGCTTAGGGGAGCTCTGTCCATGTGGACAAGTGACTCAAAACCCCGGCTCTGAATACATTACAGAGCGGGCCAGCAGACCTGTCAATACTGTGGAAGAACATCCTGCAAAGGCAGATAAACAGGCAAGGTGCCACCTACTGCACTATCCTACAGAACAGGCACCCTTGGGAGGTCATCCCTGTACACACGTGCACCCACGCGCTGACAATCCAGTCTGAGTCCTGACCACATGGAGGAAAAGACGCACGTCTGTGACAAACTACAGATGGGCCCCAGAGGAAAGATCTACTCAAGGCTAAAAGGGAAGATCAAAGAAGCTGTTTGGAGACTCAATGCCATTTAGGGTCTAGAGACGCTGGGGTCGGGGCTGGCATGCTGCTGGGAAGCAGACCACGGAGTAAAGCCAGCAAAGCTGCGGTGCAAGCCACCTGCCCATGGTGACACCTGGCTCACGGCCTCTGGGACAAATCCAGGAGGGAAAGGCTCCATTTGGACACAGAATTAAAACACACACACACACAGAAGAACGGCACAGAACGGACGGCAAAAAGGATACTTAATTTAAAAGAAAAAAGAAAAGACAATTTCCAACAGAATGAGGCTGATGCTCACAGTCCCGTTTTTTAGCTGGGAAGTTGCTCCCCCACACTTTTCTCGCAGAAGGAAAAGAGCTACAACTCTCTTAAGCTTTTGTATCCAAACCACAAGATTTTTTTTTAAACAAAATAAATCTTGGCTGTTTATAACTCTCTAAACCTAAGGCTTTAAATATTAGCCTGTACAGTATCAGAAACAGTTAATGTGTTGCTTTGCTTCTGACACTTTGGGCAAAAACTAAAGTTACTGCAGTTGCTCTCGGACTTCCTTTGCATTCTCTCCTCAGATTCTCTTCATCTCCCTTTATGAGGTGGTCATAAAGAAGGGAAATGTACGTGAACAAGGTTTCTATTGTAGTCACATGGCCCTGGATTTTGTTCTTTGAACCACTTCTAATAAAAGCGATTATCAGACACACACACGCTGGTGTGCTGAGTTAGAAACTGTCATTAGATGTTATTTCGCCTGAGCCCTGTATCTCATAGCACTTTGAGAGACAAGCAGTGTTGTACCCTCAAAACACAAGTGAAGGAGCAGACTCAGAAGTTGCACGACCTTCTGAGGTCACTCTGGCCATACATCTGCCAAGTGGTGGACCTGGACTTCACCACGTGTGGCGAGTCTGGAGTCCACGGGCTCCGCGCCCTCTGCTCTGCCGATTCCCACACTGGGCTGCCACCCTGCCTGCGCAGCACGCCGTGTGCCAGTCTCCTATGCGCAGATCTGTGCTCTAAGACCCGAGCGGACCAAGTGAACCTGTCAGTCCTCACCTTGGCCAGCAAGAGGCTGAGCGTCTCGAGTAGAGCTGCCTTCACGTTCCAGCTGAACCGGTCCCCCAGGATGCGAATCAGAGGGCCGGTGATGTTGACCACAGAGGGCCGCAGGGCATCCGCCGAGGTGAGACGGATCACCAAGCCTAACGCTTTGGCGGCTTCCTCTTTCTGTTCCGGGCTGCCAGTCAGGACCCCCTCCCGCAGCACTGGAAGGATGGACGTTACCCCCTGACAAGAGAACCACACCTGAGAGTCAAATCACAAAGGTTTTGGGCCTGGGTGTCCCCCACCCGAAGCCAGGAGCTCCTCTCGGCCACCCTCTCTTCAACTCCATGAACGACCGAGTCAGGTGGGCAGGGTCGTGGCCTGAGAGGGTGCTGGCTGGGGAACAGTCTCCTCGACTTGACAGTGACGAGAGCAGAGTCCCTGCAGACCTGTCACTCATCTGCTCTGAGGTGACCTCCACAGGTGAAATGAGGTGGTGAACTCTGACCCTGTCCCCGCAGGGCCACCGTGGGGAAGCAGCATGCTGTCCGTGGAGATGCACAACAGCACCTAGAGCACTCCGTGGAGCAGCACACAACTGCTCCAGCGGCCCCAGCACGGGGGCCTGGGGGAAGGCGGAGGAGGGCCACACGCCCGCAGGGCCCTGCCCAGGGCCCTGGCTCACCTTCTTCGGGAGGCAGAAGCCTGGCACGTGCTCGCCTTTGCTCTCATTTCCTATGAACCGGATTTCCTTGTGCAGTTCCTCAATGAGGGCCAGCTGGTTGCCCGCATCCAGTTTCTGTGGGACACCGGAGAAAAGTAAAGAGGATATCAGGGTTCAAGTCAAGCCCTCTCAAGACGCCTTCAAAATAATACAGCAGAGGGAAGGAAGGGTGTGGGCGGGAGTACAGGCAAGACTGGCCACACATCAACGGATGCTGAAGCTGGCCGACAGCATCTAGTCTTAGAAACGCCCAGAACTGTCTTTCACCAGAGGTGGTCCAGCAGCCCCTCACCTTGGTGATGGCATTCAGGGCATCCCAGCTCTCCTCCAGAACCACGGGGCTGGAGTCGTTGAAGAGGCGGATCAGACCTGAGACCAGGCTCCGCAGGTGGCTGGTATAGTCCGCCTTGGAGCGCGAGCAGTAGATGTTGAGGATGATGGCTGCGGCCTGCCTCATGCCCACCTCGGGGCTGCGGGTGGCTTCCAAGAGGTCCTCGATGATGATCCGGTGCCCGGTGTCATCCTCCACCGACAGGATCACAGCCTGACAGTTGGCCATCTCCTAAAAGCAAAGGCGACACCTCAGCTGAGCATGCGCCTCCAGGATGGGACAGGACATGGATAAGTTGGCAGGGGTGACCGTGCCCCTCACCAGCTGCTCGTCTGGAGTCCCCAGCTTCTCCTTCAGGGCCAACATGACTGCCGGGAGGATCACGCCAAGATGACGCGTCAGGGCATCACCCGCCACAGACGAAAGGAAAGCCAGGACCCGGGTGTTGACGGGCGGGGTCGTCAGCTGCAGGATGATGACCATCAGCTCAGTGGGGGCTGCCCCGTGCCAACTGCGGCGCTGGGCTCTGGGAGATCCCGTCCCACTGCAGAGTCGCCGGCCTCCCCCAGCATCTGGGTTCAGAGCTGGTCCTCACGTAGACCCGGGGACGGTGACGCGGCTGTGGCTGCTGGGCTAGAGGGGGTCGCCACGTGTGGGGACTTACCTTGGGCACGAGGTAGGGCAGCACCACACGGCTCTTGATGGCCATCACCTGCTTCAGACCGTCCAAGGCAAACTCGGACACCTCCTCGTCATCCTGCAGAGGGGCATGGGGTGACGCCTGGGAGCCGTTCTCCTCCCTGCCTCCTCAGTCTGGACCTCCCCAGCCCCGACACCCCCCACCCGGCCCCCCAGAGTCAATGCCATTCTATACACCCACCTCCTCTGGGGCCCACACTGGCTGCCTTGGCAGAGTCAGCCCCGGCGTGCGGCCTCCACGGAGATAGTGGAACCCCTCCTGGCAAGGGTGAGGCAGACCCACTCACCAGCTGCTTCAGTAAAAATGGGAGGATGTCCTCCAGGGCCTGGTGGCCGATGGTGGAGTGCAGCTGCTCGAAGGTCTTGGCCGCCGCTTCTCTGACCTCCTCCAGCGGGTCACACAAGGCCTTCCTCGCCGTGGGCACAAGGGACTCAGAGAAATACAGCACCTGCAACAGCATGAGAGCGCTGAACCTGACATGATGGAGGGAGGGGAAGTCAGTGGGGGATGGGGGCGGTGAGGACCTCAGCCTAGGCAGGCTTCCTGGACTCTTGCCGGGTCTAGACTTTTCACTCAGCTGGTTTCTGTGGAAATGCACAAGTATAAGAAAGCAGACAGGATATGTGATCTGCCCGAGGAGCCTTTCCCCAGTGGTGGTGGCTTTGTTGCTAAGTCACATCCGACTCTTGCGACTCCCTGGACTGCAATCTGCCTGGCTCCTCTGCCCATGGGATTCTCCAGGCAAGAATACTCGGGTGGAGTGCCATTTCCTTCTCCAGGGGATCTTCCCAACCCAGGGATGGAACCTGCATCTCCTGTGTTGCAGATGGTCTCCCGCATTGTAGGCAGATTCTTTACGAACTGAGACATGGACTTAACAGTTAATAGTCTTGATTTTTTTTAGGCAAGTTCCCCAGATACTTTGGTCTCTCATGGGAATGCCAAACTCCTTCCCACGGCGAGGCCCCAAGTGACCTGGCCTCCACTCCCCAGGCTCCTTTGTTCATCCTCTTGGGAAACTCCAAGTCCTTCTTCAAGTCCCAACTCAAATACCTGCTCCCTTATGAAGTCTCTGGGTCTACAGTGGGGCCAACAACTGCTCTGTGCCCTCTGTAACCAATTCCACCAAAGCAACACCCCTCCATGAATCTAAGGACTGAATCTGAATATGGTGGCCATGCCATGGGCAAGGCCTCAGGCTTTGGGGCACTACCTATTTAATTAATCACAGTCCTATTTGATGACAGAATTTACAGAATTTGTTCTTTGAAAAATGCAGCTATAAAGACCCCAAATGGCACACATGCACTGACACACTCAGGAGAAGGATCAGACGAGGCTATTCAGGCTGAGCAACTGGCCACATGCTCCCATCTCTGACCCGCTCTCCACTCATCGCTTTGGCGCTTTCATCCCAATCTAGAGCTCTATGCCTATGCTCAACCTACTCCCCAGGGATGTCTGGAAGCTCAATTAGAAAGAGTAGGGTTGGTGAAAGATTCCAACCCCCTTCACTGTTGCTACATGGAAACAATCTCACTGCTGGAGATGATGTGTTTCCACCCACCAGGTGCTCACTCTTATCTACTCCACGCCCTCCTGCTCCCCACCACCATCCACCTCTCACATACACACACCTCCTTTCCCGGCTAAGCACACCACACACGTGAACTGAACTGATGCATTGACACAAAAGGAGGATGCATTGAAGCCACCTCAGGAGTGCTGAAAGATTATCTCAATCTCCAAAAGCCACCCCAGGCCTCTAAATGGCTGAGGTCTTAGCCTATAAACTGATTGGAAAGCTGAGAGAGAAAGCCCAGGGCGCTATGGCTCCGTCAGTACCTCACTGCCCACAGCACCCTCTGGAGTGAGGCTGGCGTGTCCCTGAGGGTGAATTGTCGTTAATGGAGCAGCTTTTCCAGGAGCCCCCACCCCCCGGCCGTCTGAGAGGGGTGGGGGGCAGGCCTGCGGGCCCTGAGGAGATGCTCACCGCGTCCCACCCCCCGGCCCTCTGAGAGGGGTGGGGGGCAGGCCTGCGGGCCCTGAGGAGATGCTCACCGCGTCCCACCCCCTGGCCCTCTGAGAGGGGTTGGGGGCAGGCCTGCGGGCCCTGAGGAGATGCTCACCGCGTCCCACCCCCCGGCCGTCTGAGAGGGGTGGGGGGCAGGCCTGCAGGCCCTGAGGAGATGCTCACCGCGTCCCGGCTGGTGGACTTCATGATCTCGCTCAGCCCAATGCACACACCCTGCCTCTCGTCGCTCTTGGGAGATCTCAGGCCTTCCTCCAGGATGGGGATGATCTCCGGCAGGATTTTCTCCCCTAACTTCCGAACGAGATCTCCCAGCGTCCTGGCTGCGATCTGCCAGGCAGAGCTCAAGTCAAGACAGGGACTCCCTGCAGACCCGGGACACCCAGTGGGCCACCCCAGAATGAGGGCCCCAGGACCTCCCAGACATTATCTGAGCCAGACTTAACTTTCCCCAATGGTCTATCCTGTGAAGAGCCCCCAGGGTGCTTGCAATACACCACAAAATAAAATTCTCTCTGCATCACACAGGCCAACACAGCCTAAAGAGTCGGCACCTTATGGATGAACAAGAAACTCAACACATGTTGTCCAGCTGAGGGCTGATCCCCCCAGGTTGAAAACTGTGGCCTGGAAGTCACTTAACCCTCATGCTCTTGCCCAGGAAACGAGAGCTGGGTTTGTAATCACAACTTTCAGGGAAAAAGACCCATCTCCTCTGAGGCCGTGTGCAAACCCTTCTTCAGAGCCAATTATGCAATCTGTTTGCCGGGGACGGGGGTTCGGAATGGACTGGCAGAAGTGATCACTGGCCCTGGGGGCCCTCCTCCAGCTGCCCCGGCCTTTGCTCAGCCCCTGCTGCGGGCAAACTCCTTGCCCACCTCAAGGCTTGGGCGTGTCCAGTCCTGGTGTCTCAAGCACCGGTCCTTTGGTCCTTAACAGTCTTTCGTCACCTCCTCACCTGCTGATCCTCACTCATCGCTCGTCTTCAAACATCACTCTTTCTGAGAAGCCTTCTCTGAGCCCCCCAGCTGACTGACCTGGTATAAGCATTGGCAGTGACACGTAGCACTTGTCATAGTTGCATTTTCCCCTGTTTGTGTGACTGTTTGATTCACATCCGTTTCCTCTGCCAGACGGCAGCTCCACAGGGCCGCCTTTCTTCTCTACAAGGTCCTAGGCCCCTACTTAACACATGGTAGATGCTTAAGAAATATTTCTTAACTAAGTAAATAAAAGTTCTCCTGCTAGATGGTGGACCCCACTGCTCTCCCATTCTCTGCAGACCCAGCTTTCTAGCCTCTGAAAGGAGGCATCAGGATTATGTGGTCAGAAGCCAGGCCTGGGACACTTACCGTTCTCTTATCCGCACACGTGCTGGCCAGGAAACCCAGCAGGAGCCCAAAGAGGGTGGGCAGGATCTCGCGCAAGGTGCGGGGGGTGTTGGAGACCACAATCTTCCAGACGTGCAGGGAGGCCTGCCGCACCACCAGCTGGGTGTCCGAGCGGCCCATGTACAGCCCCGCCAACACCCGGTTCCGCCGATCTACCCCCAGGGCAGTGATGATCGCCTGCAGTGGAGGAAGGGAGCCAAGAATGAGAGGTGGTGAAGCCCCCATGGTGTGTGTGCTGGTGAGTCTCCCCACCGGCAGCAGAGGGAGGAAGGGCACCTGGGGCTGCTCACCTTGTTGGACTGAGCGGTTCCGAAGTTGTCATCCTCTGAAGCAGTTTCTGTGGTCATCTTCCCAGTGACTCCTGAGATGTGGAACAGGAGATCGCCAAGGAGCTGAACAGAGCTGAACCTAAGGAGGCCAAGAACAGAGTCACACGGGCGCAGGAGGAAGTCTTGGCCAAGCACCGGCCAGAAAAAGAGACTGAAAGGAAACGAACCCCAAACACTGGTGGTGGTTCTCTTAGAACACGAGAGGTCACAAATGATAGTCATTTTTTTACAGTCTCCCACGTATGTTCCTTCCAAGTTTTGCACTAATTAACATTACTTTAATAATGGAAAAGAATAAGCTATTTTTTAAAGTGGATACAAATATTTCTACAATAAAAGTTATTAAAGAGAAACAGAACACAGAGGGAAGTATGAGCAGGGAATCCAGGAATGCAGATCAGAACGCCACGTAAGGAGAGGCCTAGGAGAAACTGTTTCTCTTTGAATGAATAATTATAAAACTAACAGTCATATTCAAACTGAAAATTCAATTAATACAAAAAAATATAAAGAAAGAGAGAGTAAACAAGCGCCCAGACTGCCAGCACCCAGGCCACCACCCTGACACTCCGGTGACACCCGTGTGCACATCAATCACCCTGTACACAGACACCCCTCCCACACACAGGATGTGCAAAGTGGGCCTGCACATGACCTGGCCGCGGCCCGCACCACCCGACCCAACAGAAGGTTGAGGAGCGTTCTGTGTCAGCGGACGTGGTCCTTACACCATTCTTTGTAACGGCCAGATAAAAGTTCATGGTGTGGACGTGCTACCTGACTTTTTCAAACCTACCTCCAGGTTTTCAAATGATAAGCAGTATTGCAACACACACCTTCTAAATACATCTTTAAGCACTTGACTAAATATGCCCCTGAAATGAAATCCTAGAAGGAGAATCTCCAGATGAGAAAGCACTCACATTTAAAATTTTGATACAAACTGAAGAACTGAAGAGAAAGAACATCTTAGAAGAGAAATGGAATTACAGACACTGCTGTAGGAAACTGGAGAGTCACCAAATGGTGAAAAATGAGGATCTGGAAAAGTTGAGGGATTTTGGCAACATTCTGTTTTTCATTTCTCAGTGCGTGCATGTGTGTGTGCTAAGTCACTTCAGCTGTGTCTGACTCTTTGTGATCCTATGGACCATAGCCCACCAGACTCCTCTGTCCATGGGATTTCCCAGGCAAGAATACTGGAGTGGGTTGCCATTTCCTCCTCCAGGGGTTCTTCCTGACCCAGGGATTGAACTCATGTCTCTTACATCTCCCACATTGGCAGGTGGGTTCTTTACCACTAGCACCACCTGGAAAGCCCTCATTTCTCAGTAAGTTCCCCAAACACAAAGGTATGGCCACTGGGTCTTTCCACCTGAGTTCTTACCTTATTCTCCAGAGGTCATCAAAGAGGCCTTGCTCCAGCTGGGGCAGCAGCAGGGCGATGGCCGTCTCGGCATACATGGAGATGACCCGCTGGCCCGCACGCAGGGCAGTATCACGCACAAACTCGTTCTCATCAGCAAGAGCCTGTGCACAGAGGGGGTGTCAGCCAGACCTGCTGCCCCCTAAGCATCCAGACCCAAGAAGAAACACAACTCCCTATAGAGCAGGATGGGGGCTCCTGCCACCCAGCCACATCTGGCAGAGAGGCTGAGCTCCCCAGGATAGAGCATGTGTCCTGGCCCCCACCCTAGGCCCTATCCTCAGTGGGCACCAGTGCCTACTTTGAGAATACAGGGGATGATGGGCCCCACATAAGGAGTGAATTTGTCCCCAAAGGTGATGGGCAGGTAGTTGAACATCATGATGTAGCCGTCTCGGACGTGAGGGGCAATGTCGACTTTGCTGGCTGTAGCCACAATTTCTGGCATCAGCTTCTCCAACTTCTCCACCCCCAAGCCGGCCATAACCTCAGCCAACCCTGCAGGAAAGGGACAGAGTGAGCCCACAGGACCTGAGGGCCCGCAGAGCGCCTCCCAGGTCTGACCCCCAGGCCCACCCTGCCTCACCCTGCGCAGCGCCTGAGCGATCCACAGAGCTCTGCTCGTAGGTCAGTGTCTCCATCAACCACGGCAGCAAGTCCTCAAAGCACGATTCCCCCATGCCCTTGACCATGGCCCCGAGCGCCTTTGCAGACACCGTCCGTACCTGTCAGGGAACCAAGAGCAGGGAAGGTGAGGAGATGTGACCACACAGGAGAGAGGAGGGGTCCCCAGGGTCTTCTGCCCTTCACCATACAGATGCAAACACAGCTTCTCTGTCTTCTTAGCAATCGGTTATCTGGGGTGGGGTTAAAACCATGCGCTCCCGCCCCCTTCCCTCTCAGACTCACCTCAGGCACAGGATCCAGGAGAGAGGCTTTCAGACCAGGCGTCACGCTTGGCAGGTAAGGAGCCAAGTCCTGCAAAGACGGAAGGAGTGACTCAGTGGAGGCCTGAGGCCCGCTTTCTCCAGACCGGTTCCTGGGTAGATCTTGACCACCCTGCTCCGCTAACTAGGAGCGCTCACAGGGGTAGAGAACCCCCTCCATCCCCTTGGTTCCCTGAAGGCCCTGTGTGATTGCTCAGAAAAACCTCTGAGGGACCCCAGGCCCTCCTCAGGAGGTGGAGAGCCCCCAGCTGCCATTCAGAGCTCTTCCTCCTCCTGGGACCGAGGGCTGCCCAGCCTTGGGCATCCACAAGGTTCTCTCAGCACTTTCCTTTCAGAGATGCACAATCTTTACCTTAAAAGGTTTATGTCTCTTGATACAGCACTCGACTTTCAGAAACAGTTTTAAATATAGAAAGAACCTTATGTTCACTGCAGTATCATTTAAAATAGCAAGAAACCTTGGACACTATGTGACCGACAATAGAATTATGTAAGTTATGGTATATAAACTTGTTGGCATGTTACATAACTATTTAAGACCCGGTTTTATGAATAACTCATTATAACTTGGACATCCATTTATGTTCAGAAATGTCATTTTTAAACGTAATTTTAAAACATAATTGTCTAGGCTTCTGGAGGGCTATGGGTAAAATGTTTTGATTTTCCAACTTCCAATTTCCCAAATTTCCTAGGATTGACCTAACTTTCCACTTTATCTCTGGTGCCCGTAGCCTCAGCAAGCAAATCAGAGCTGTGGTATTAAGAGCACACACATCAGCCTCTGGGCATGAGTAAACAGAGCAGATCTCCCAAACTAGGCTAATTTCCTGAGAGGCTCGCCAGTGCTTATGACAAGAAGACACTGCCAGCAATCAAAGTGGCAGACACTTTCCCAACACCCCTGAAAAGTCAAAGGCCAGGCTGGACCTTTCCTCCCCATCAGTCTGTAAAAGGAGCTCATGGGGACAGGCCTCATCCAGGGGTGGAGCTAATCAAGACTTGTGTGGCTAGGCTCTCCAAGACGTGCAGAGAGCTCAGACTTCCACCCTCTACCCCAAACGGTCTACTTCTGCCCTGATACCATCAGGGACCAAATGCCCACAGCTGCCCTGTGTCTACTGTCGGCAGGGACCATGTGCCCTGAGCCAGGATCCACTGGTCTGTCCTGCGTGGGCCCCCACAGGCCCATACCTTCTGGTCTGTCAGCGAGTACATGTTGCCAATGATCTGGGCGGCCATCTTCCGTGTGTCCGTGGAACGGTCCTGGAAGGCTCTCTGGACGATGGGCATGATGAGGGCCAGGGAAGGGGCATCGATGAAGTGGACAAACTTGGTGTCCAGCAAGGTCTGCAAGCACTTCTGGGTCTTCCGGGAGGGGTCTGTCAGGGCGTCCAGCAGGACCGGGGCAATGGCTGCGTGTCCGGACAAGAGAGAGGCAGCTGAGTACAAGTCTGTGGGGTGGCTGATAGAGCTCCCAGCGCTAGACGGGTCAGAGGAGAAGGAGGCCAGGGGCCCTCTCCTGAGAGCCCCATAAGTCACCAGGTGAGGAAGCCAGCCTGTCTGCAAAAAGCAATTCTATTCTTGCTCTCCAGGAGGAAGCAGCGTGGGGGCGGGAGCTGTCACCCCCTTGCACTGCAGAGCTGTGGCTGGTGGCGTGCCTGCCAGCTAGCTTCAGTGGCCCTGAGCTGCAGCCCCAGCTAGGCCTCCAGGGGAGGCCACTTAGCAACGTGGATCTTACTCTGGAAGCTATAACGACCCAAAGTGGCTTTGTGAAAAAAACCGTTTGGAGACAACAAAGGCCCCCTGAACCAGTGGTGGGAGTGAAGTATACAATGCTCAGAGCAGCCACAGATAAAATGAGCTCTCCAAAGTCAGCACCATCAGCCCAGTAGAAGGAATTCCAAGAGGGGTACCTGGCTCATCTTTCCCACAAGACCAGGGAATTCAACCACTAACGAGATACATGCCGGTCAAGAGTTTTGAGGGAATTCCCTGGCAGTCCAGTGGTCAAAACTTGGCACTGCGGCAGCCCGGGTTCAACCCCTGGTTGTGGAACTAAGAACCAGCAAGCCTCGCAGAGTGGTGCCCCATCCCCACCCCCAATTTTTTTTAAAAAAATAGCCCAATTTAAAAACGGGCAAAGGATTTGAATAGACAGTTTTCCAAAGAAGATATGCAAATGAAAAATAAGCACATGAAAAGACGTTCCACATCATTAGTCATTAGGGAAATGCAAACCAAAACCACAATGAGTGGTTAAGACTCTTGTGCTTCCACTGCAGGGGGCACGTGTTCAATCCCTGGCTGCGGAAGTAAGATCCCATATGCTGTGTGGCGTGGCCAAAACAAAACCACAGCTAGATGCCACTTCATACCCACTAGGATTTCTGTAACCAAAAAGACAGACGGTAACAGTGTTGGCAATTGGAACGCGTGTGTTTGTGTAAAAACAGCTACTGAGAATGTCAAGAATGGTACAGCCGCCAGGTTAACTGTCTAGCAGTTCCCTAGAAAAGGTAAACAGTTATCATATGACCCAGTTATTCCATTCCTAGGTATCTAACCAAGAAACCTGAAATCATGTCTACAAAAACAAAAATCAAATAAAACCTTGGACACAAATGTTCGTAGCAACATTAAAAACCAAAAAGTGGAAACAACCCAAACATCCATCAATTGATGTATGGATACACAAAACGGTACAGTCATACAATGAGATATATTATTAGGCCATAAAAAGGAATGAAATATTGAGGCTACAATGTGGATGAACTTGAAAACATAATGCTAAACACAAGAAGCTAGACATAAAAGGCCACATAGTGTATGATGCTATTTCCATAAAATGTCCAGATATGCAAACTCAGAGACAGAAATAGACTAGTGGTCATCAGGGGCTAGAAGTAGAAGGGGAAATGAGGAGTGAGACCTAATAATGGGTGTGGGGTTCCTTTCTGGGGCGATGAAAGTGCCCCAGAACTAGACAGTGGTGATACTTACATAATTTTGTGAAGATGTTAAAAACCACTAAAGTGTACATTTGTAAAAAGTGAATTTTATGCAAATTACACTGCAATTTAAAAAAAAAGAAAAAAGGGCCCAAGCTGGATTCCCAAAATGAAGGCATTCATTTGATAAGAGATAAGACTGTTCTGGGCCTTAGAAATCCCCAGGGCTGTTGGACATTGTAAAGAATGACAACAAAACCCACATCTACCTGTTCCTCCCGTAAAACCTCATCATTTTCTGATTAAAATCAAGTCTGGAAATACTCAGGCTGAAACGCACTGAATGGGCAACAATGCCCTAAGTTGAAGCTTAAAATTTAACAAGTATGGTGCTGCAAGTCAACATAGCTGGCTGGAGTTTATTTCTAGAAATCAGTCTTTCCTAATCACTCAAGAAACAGCTATGCTAAAGAGTAAGCTCCCTAACCTTCCCTCCATCACAGGTCTCCTGGAATGAGCATGAACAGAAAGTTCCCTGGAACCTAACCCCTCTGAGGGGTGCTGCTGCTGTGATCCAGAGCCTGTCATTCAGCTCTGCAGATCTCAAGGCTCCCTTAGAGTCAAGCTGCCTCCGGGCCAACAACTCAGTTTCCCCACCTCTGTGGTCAATGACTGCTCCAGACCAAGAGGAGAACAGACCACTTCCAAACTATTTCCCACTGACTATCATAGGAGGCTTCCCTGAGTTTAAAGGTTATCTCAGGGCGACTGCCTCTGTCCTCAGAGGGCCTGTGCTGCATGGGTACATGCTCCCCGCAGCGTCCAGGGGCGCAGGGAAGAGCAGGGCCCGCACCCTTGTGGGACAGGCCTTACGTACCCAGGATCTCTGGGTTCCTGATGACAGAGCCGATCTGCCTGAGCGCCTGCTGCCCGGCCTTCTGCACTTTGACGTGGGAGTCGGTGAGCACCTCTGTGAGCTTAGGCACGATGTTGGGTAGGCAGGACGACAGCTGCTTGGGAGCACAGTAGGCCATGGCCCCAAGCAACTCCACCGACCCTGCAGACGGCAGACACATGCCCGCGTGAAATCACGGGCCACAGGCTGGCAGTTTGCCCGGGCTGGCTGCCTGGGCAGGGGAGAAGCGGCCTGCTCCTCCCTGAGGGGGAGGGCACAGGGCCTGGCTCCAGCCAAGCAAGCAAGATGCACCTGAGGCCGGCTGAGCTGGGGGAGCCCGGGTGAGAAGATGGGCAGCGGTGGGGACAGAGGCCAGACCTGGCTTAGAGGTGGCAGTGTCCCCAGGTCAGTTCACTGAGCTTCTCTGTCCTCTGTCCACTCACCCACTGAGTAAGAGAGTGAGTTTTCAAGACATAGGGCAAAGCCTGAAGGACCAAGGGGGAAGCCCCGACCGACGTTGACCCTCCCCAAACCAGAGCAGCTCCGTTTTACAAATTAGGATTCCAAATAAGATTGTATTTTAAAAAGAGGGCTTAACGGGGGAAGAGGGCTTAGACTCAGAGACCTAGCCACAGACCAACTTTAGAGCTCTGGGATTTCCTGACTTAAGTCTGTGGCTCTTGTCAAAGGCCTGTTTCTTGCACGAAAGTGAACAAACTATTATAGAAACGAGCCGCCTGATGAGAGCCCTGGCCTCGCCCCTGGGCGGGGGCGGGGGGATGCACACAGGACAAGAGCAGCATCTCTGCACCCCTGGGAGGGCTCTCTTCAGAACAAGAAGCTGAGACAGTGGCACCAAGGGAGCAGCCTCACCGGCTTTGGTTCTCCAGGATTCCTCCTCCAGGGCAGCCAGCAAGGAGGGGAGCACCAGCTTCACCCCATGAGCACTCAGGTTGCTCATCACGGCCTTGGCACAGTCATCTGCAGCCTCGAGGAAGGAGAAAAGACGTTCAGGGGCCTTCTCAGGCACGCCAGGGTCAAGGCCTAAGGCTGGACCGTGCGCCCCCTGGTGATCATCGCTCACCGCGAGTCTACCGTGTCAGACCCCAGGCCCCAGCCCGCAGAGCAACTCACCTCACCAGGCTTCAGTACTGCACTGGGAACCAGGGGAGTCTGCACGGTGACCAGCACCCGAGGGGTGGGCAGAGGCGCTCCCGCAGGGCAGGCCCCCCCACACCCCCCCCAACGCAGCCTCAGGACTTACCTCCCGCACGTACTGGTTCCCGTCCCCAAAGCACAGCAGCAGATGGGGCAGCACGTGGACCACATATGGCTCGAAGAGCTTCCCCAGCATGGTGCAGAGCATCTCGAAGGCAAAGAGGGCTCCTGGGAGGGTGAGGGGTGCAGTGAGGCTGGGATCGGGACGTCCTCTGGGGACGGGGCAGCCATGGGACAAGCTACTCGCCCCCTCCTCACCCTCTGGAAATGCTCAGGGCAGCTGGGGGGCTACAGTGGCCGTCCAGGAGGGAGCAGCACCCTCTGCCCGCCCCGAGCAGAAAGGAGGCGAGAACGGGAAACACCACCAGTGAGAACGGCACTGTCTCCCTCAACTGAGGGTGCTGCAGAGTCAGAAACAAGGACACCCAGGCCACACTGGCGTGGCCGGGATGGAACAGCTCACAGCCAACCACCAACAGCTCACAGCAGCACACACCCCGACACCAGCCTTCGGTGGGGGAGGAAAAGCCAGGTTCCCTCCTCGGGCAGCCAAGGCAGGGAGCGGGCGCTGCCCGCCCACACTGTGCAGAGCTGAGCCTGGAGACACTCACCCTCCCTGCGGCGGAAGTTCTTCTTGTCCTGGATGGCATCGGTCAGCGCAGCCATCATCTCCTGCTGCTTCAGCGACAGGATGCCCAGGCCCTTCACCAGGCCCGCCAGCCCATACGCAGCCCCTTTGCGCTCGGCATACTTGTCTGACTCCAGCAGCTGCTGCATCAGCCTCTGGATCATACCCCCCGCGTCCTCCTTGATGGCAGGGACGAGGGGCGGCAAGCAGCTGGCCACGGACTCCTGGACCTAGGGGAGGGGCCTCCCCGTCAGTGCCGAGGCTCAACCACGGCCGGTGCCTGGTGGCTGACGCAGTCCCCCAGGCCAATCTCCACCACTGCCCATCAGCCCACAAGGAGCATCAGAAAGGCTGACGGGGGCCCACGATCACGTCTGAAGTGCCTGCCCACAGGATGCATGCTACATCCGTGAGCCACGAAAGCATCAGCTGTTATGGGGCTGTTTCTGGTCTGAAGGGAGAACCAAGGCCTGGGTAGGTGGGGTAAAGGCTCAGAAAGGTAAAACCCACTTACAGAGAAAGAGCCTGAGAGAAGCGGGCTACTGTGTCTTCTTAGAAACAGCCCGAGTCTCTCGGTTCTCGAATCTGTTAGAATCACAGGTAAACAGGGCTGGGCCTTAAGACGACCAGGCCCAAATTGAGTGGTTCCAGAAGATGGTATCAACCATCCCGACACAGTTCAGGATGCCCAACCAGGCCCAAGAAGCGGCCTGTGGCCAGGGGCCCTGGGCAGGATGCTTTGGAGGCCAGATACTCTGACAGCTTATTCGAACACAGTTCTGTGAAACTATTGTTTTCAACTGTGCCTTTGAGGACACTCTGGATAGCTCAAGATGCAAGTCACAGAGAATACACGTAATGTGTTCTTTAAAAAAAAAGAAAAAAAAGAAAAAACCCTCTGCACTGTGGCCCGGAAGCTGCATTAAAAGGCCCCCAAAACATACAACACAACACACAACAGAGAGAATGTCAAGAAAAGCCTTACACACTAAGGACAATTTCTTCCCCCTAATCTTTGTGTCTCCAGAGCCAAGTTTATACTAAGTGCAAAAAATGACTATTAGAAAATAAGTAGAAAAAAATGCAAATATTTAAGAGATCTAGGAGAACATTGTAACAAACTGACTCCCCACTAAGGCATTCCTAACTTTAAACTAGGCAGTCCCCTGAGAGACCGGCAGAGAACACAGCCTTCTGGACTGATACCCGACTCCATCTGCAGCACCCCATCGCCCACCCATACAGGGCCCGGGTGGTCGGGGGACATACCTGCTGGGAGGGGGTGGAGAGGGCAGCGATGAGCTTGGCGACAATTGGCTTCACTTTGGGGTCGCTCTTGTCCAGGTGCTTGGCAAGAGAGCCCATGAGGACCACCACGCTCTGCCGCACGGCGTCATAGCTGGCGTCGTTGGGCGCGTTCTTTAGGAACTCCTCGAATACCGGCAGCAGAGAGTTGACGTTCTCCTGAAAGCCCAGAGCATCCGGAGCCTCACGTCAGCCCCAGGGACCATGCCCGGGTACAATGGTCTCTGCCTAAGCCTGGCTGGGAGACGGCATCCTGACCAGTCAGCCAGCCATGCCATCGGGCTTCCCGGTTTTCTGGCAGGATTGCAGCAGACTTACAACAATTTAACACCCTTTGGGGGTCTCTCTGACCCAAGAAATACAAACAGAATCCGCTGGGGGGCCAGCGCCCGGCCAGGACGTCCAGTACCGGGCCTCGCCGTGGCACCATGGTGCAGCCTGCCGCCTGCCCCGGCCCAGCCTTCTCCCCACTCCTCAGGTGGCTGAGACCTTTTCCCTGTCTCCTCGCCTGACTGAGATCTCCTACCTTCCCATGTGTGTTGAGCGTCGCAAGAGCTGCATCTAACATGCACTTCCGGACATCTGGGTTTCGGTCATTGAGGGCGTCGGGGACAAAGAATTGAAAGAGTGGCTTCACCTGAGAGCTGTCCAAACACTGGGAGAGCTTGTTCAGGGCCAAAGCCAAGCCACACCTGGGAAAGAAGCGGGAGCGTGTCAGGGGAGTCAGAGGCCTCCCGGCTGGGGGCCTCTATCCTAGCATGTCACAAGGAGAGCAAGCCAGCCAACAGCACACACTG